TATCATGGATATTTTTGTGATTGGTTTAACTTAAAGTTTAACTTTCGTATTATTTAATAAGCTTTTTTGTCGCATTCAGCCGAACTACCGATTTTTTGAATGTAAAAGTGACACCTGTAATATCAAGTTTAATAGAACTGAATGAATCCAAAGAATTTGTGCATAAAATATTATTTTTTGAAAGTAAATTTTCTGAGAGTAAAGTTAAGCGAGAAATTTTTACTTCCGAGAAACAAAAAAAGTTTGAAAGTAAAGTAAATCCAAATAAAGAAGTAATCTGTCGTTTTCAAAGTGATGATTTACTTCCTTTTCAGTATCGTTGATTTAACGACATTTCTGTATTTTACGCTCTATACGCCACTTGTTTACTTCGTCTTCTTGAGACGTTCACTAAAGTGAGTAATTTTTTTTGGTAATTGCGAAACATTTTCATTTCAATACGCTGTGTTTTTGTGTCACATTGTATTTTCACTTTATTTTCCATGAAATGTCGTAGTTTAAGTTCGTTTTGTATTCTTTCCTATGCATTGCCAACAAATTTTTACTCGCATATTCGCTTTCGTTTCTGAAAAGAAATTTATCATTCATTTCATTTAAAAACGTCGTCTCTCGTTTATTTCCAACATTTCAATCTTTAAATTTCCCGACCCTCAGGAACTCGCCAAATTGTGCATTGAACGTGTGGAATCGATTGTTAAACTGAGATACTTTCAGTGCGAACACATCAAATGGTGGCGGACCATTATTTTCGTATCGTAAACAAAAAGACGAAGCAAATACCGGTGATTTGCCAGATACGGCCACGTATTATCCGCGTTTCTCAGGTGAGTGCAACGATAAAATGATCTCAATCCCTTGCATGCATCACATGATGCAACAAGTTCATAGCATTGAACATGATAATCACGAAAACATTGATCAACTACTATGTTTTCCTAGCTAAAGCATTGTTTCTTTTAATGTAGAAGATTGTTTTCATTCAAACGCCTCTTGTGATGATGTAAAAACAAACAATCACGTAGTGTATTTNCATAGGTCAGATTCAAAAAAAAAATTACGGTTTCAGGCCTAACGTCGCCGTCTTATGATGATCTGTTTGATTGTGACAACGGTGGTCGTAGTCGTTACGGTATCAACTGTACGGCTATAATGGACGCAGATTTGTACCAGCAAACGGATCTGGATCAGATGCGAATCGCATCATCGGCAGATGATGCTTATGACAGCTACAATGCACCGTTGATGAACACGTCGTCCTCACAGCAACACACACCCGACTCGACGGTCACCACGCATATCGACTTCGATTGCTCACCAGATTTGCACTACTCGAAGTCGAATTCATTCGAAGAGGAACGTTTCAATATCGCCTCCATGAAACCGTCTCACTACGATGTGCATCACACAAATTCTATGTGTGGCACTGGGCCGAGACAACTGCGTGGCCTGGGACCGAATGGAACGTTGTTGTTCACTGATGAAAACGATATGATGTACCCGAATAGGGTGAACAATTTTAAGAATTAGATTGGTTTTTTTTGGTTACACGGGTTTTCGGGGAATTTTGTAGGGAAGAGTTATTTATTATTAATAATTCTGTACAAAAGAGATTCGTTAAAGAACATGAAATTTTAGTGTAAATTAAAAACATTTTGAGTTTGGTTGAGTTGGGTATCATCCTTATTTGGGTATATATTTGCAGTGCAAAAATTTTTTTATGCTCCTAAAAAAAAGATGTTTCGTGAATTTCTTCTCTCTTTTTTTTTTGAAAGTTTCTTATTCCTTGCTAGTTCACACTTCGTATTGTTCTCATCTGAATTCGATCGGCTCCAAATTTGTTGTAGGCTCTCAAAAATAGTTTATTTGTTGTTTTTGTTTAATCGTTGTTCACTATATTTTTTAATTGTTTAGTTGTTGTTT